CCCTTACAGACATCCGGTTGTGCTATTTTTTTAAATTATTCTTGTTTAAAGCAATAATCATATTGCTGGGTTGTTCCGGACAAAATATATTATAATGCCCAAAAGAAATAAAGATAATATATTATATTGTTTTAACTTTATTTCCTATTTTCAATGTTTGGATTAGATCAACAAATTATTACTACCTCCGCTTTTAATTATAAGGCTTTATTTATAAACTATGAACAAAATCTTATACTCTTCCGGTTTTAATTATAAGACCCAATTGATTTATTTGAGGAGATTAAGGAAGTAAAGTAAGTTGGTTATTTATAATAAATAAGTGTTGCCATTCCTAAAATATCCTTGCTAATTAAGTATATTGGCTAAAACTATCATTATTAGAAGGATTATCTTGGAAAAAATGCATAAATATAAGAGACAAAATGGATTAGGGTCTTATAATTAGGACCAAATAAAAAGTCAAATGGGGTCTTATAATCAACCCTTCAAAAAATTATAAACAAAACTAATCTAGATCGGATCATGGTAGGACCCTCATGACTGGCGATTCTACCATTATTATATGCTCACAAAATTGAACCCATGACGTTTCATTAACCTGAAACAACTCTCCATGGTTGGAGTAGATCATCTTTCCATGTCGTTTTCCTAGTGGTCTTTTATTTAACAGTAGAAAATCTGCACCAAATCATTCATGATATAATGGGATTTTCTCCTCTCTTTTTTTTTTAAATCGCCAACAAATCGGATTTTCTCCTATTTTTATCAGATAAAAGTAAGGCCCTCGGATTTTCTCCTCTATTTATGATTATATAGTTTTGTTTGTATCTGGACTTTTTAAAACAAAAATGCATGGATATTAAGTCTGGATGAACTTTGACCCAAATTTAAATTCAGGCATACACTTTTAATTAGTTTTTAATCTGATCAATAGGCCTAGTTAGGGGTTTCAAAATGTTGTCAAATATTATTAGAAAGAAAAATTAATAAAGATAGATATAAGTTTGATTTCAGTTTTAATTACTTCTGAATTTAATTGAGTATTGCACCCACACGTAGGTGTCAAATTTTTATTTGAGATCAAATTTCTAATCGATCATGTGATGGCAAACACAAATAATCCTAATCATCATAAGAACAACATAAAACTTATTCAATTCACTGTAAAACAAAGTTGAAACTGCGTTATTTATTGCCATGGCATAACCAAACTGTGTCAATTGATATTTAGGGTTACATATTCCCTGATTTGACCTTCTATTTTTTACTCAATATTTATATATAATCTTAATTAACTAAATCTTCGATGTTATCATTTCATGATATAAAAAAATATTTTAATTCAAGATGGGACTAAAATATTTTAGAAAGCAAAAATTATTTATTTTAAGATTACAATTTTTTATTATCTTTAATTAAAATATTTTTAAGTAGGTAATTTTTTATTTTAAGTCTCATAAATATTTCAATTGTAATTATAAAATTAATCAAGGTGCAAGTTACTACTTAACTAACTTAAATAAATTTAAAAAGTTCAATGAATTAGTTAATTTTGACAAATATATAATAGTCTCTCCAGTTAAAATACCTCTAAAAGTTAAAGGATTGGCATGAAACAAAACAAAGTAAAGAGACCAAAACAGATCCTATCTCAAAGTGTTTTTTTTTTTGGTTTACAGATCCTATCTCAAAGTTAAATACTGCATCATTGTGTTTGTACGCTTATATAAACTTAGTTTGTTTGTTCTTCTTCTTCTTTTTAAATAAAAAGAGGGCAAGGTCCAATTTTGTCTCGAAATTTTTACTAAAAACATATGAATATCCGAATTTCTTTTTTGGGCAATATCGTGCAAAAACTTACAGAACATAACAATGTGGCATTGGTTGTTATTCCAAGTTAAGTTGGATCATTAAAGACACATGACACTCAGATATTACAGTAATATGCCGCCTCATCGCCACCCACTTCTTCTACTTGACCAAAATGCCCTCTTCATCTTTTCTGTTTGCATCTCCTTAATCCCCACCATTTAACTAACCTCATCGTCTTCATCCCCCCGTTTTGGAACCAACATGGATGTGTTCCTCCACTTTCCCCAGTATTCAAGAAGAGTTTTGGGAAAATCACAAAAAAAGACCACCGAAATACAAAAATTGTAAATAGAGAACCATGAGTCTATGACAACATCAGTATGGGTTTTGACGATAATTTTTATGAACAGGTCCTATATGCAATTTTTCTATTTCGGCGGTCTTTTTTTGCGATTTCCTGTTTTCTAATTCAATTAATTTATTGCTTCTTTTTTTTTTAAAGTTGTGTTGTTTGATTCGTTGGGATTTGGTTTTGGATCTATGAACTCAGAAAAAGAGAAAATTGGTTGTTCTTAGAGAAAAGTAATAGAATTCTTATGAGCTATGCTTGACTGACTCGTCTGTGATAGAAAAAAGTCAATTTTTGTTTTTCCATTTCTTGCTATCACTGATTCAAGAAATATGGGTTTGTGATTATTGTAGTTTTTAAGTACAACAAGGGGGTGAATCCTTCCTCTGATAACTAGGTGATTGATGAGCTTTTTAAGATGGGTCAAGATATATCTAGCATTTTAAAGTTTTTTTTTATATGCATTTTGCATCTTAAAGTATTTTATCAGGTGTGTCTATCACATATTTTTTAATATATCTAATATCCTAAATTACTAAGTGTAAAATATGTTAGGTTGCTAGATGCATTTGAAAAAAATGTTTCAGAGTTTTGAATGCACTCCAAAATACTTTAACATATTAGATGCATTTACAAATATTCAAGATGTTGGATTCACCTTCACCCTTTAAGATTACGACTTTAATGTCTTAAAAATTATAATAATGATAAGGAAAAAAAACTTAATCTAAAATGATGAAAAAGTCAACATATTAAGAGGTAAGATATTCTCTACTTATAGAATCATCAAATAGTTATATACTCCTTCGGTCCTTAATATAAGACTCATTTAACTAATTTGATTAAATTAAGAAAGTTAGGTAAATTAGTTAATTATAAGAAAAGTGACACATTTTTCCTAAAATACAATAATCATCTTTTTTAATACTCCTCTCCCTCTTCTACTTGATATGGTTGAAGCAGTATGCATAAGGGTAATTTAGATAAAATTGATAAATATGAGAAATGGGTCTCATATTTAGGACCAAAACTAACTCAAGAATTAGGTCCTATATTAAGGACCGAAGGAGTATTACGGGGGATTTAAGATTCATCATTTCCACTCACTGCCGGAAGAATATGGATGGGATGAACTCTCTCAGATTGTGCGTGATCGTGGGGTTGAAGGGTTGGAGAAAAATGCAAACTTGGCGCTGACTTTGGTTTATGGTTCATTCTCATAATGTTGCTGCTTCTCTATTAAAACATTGGTATAAATTAAATTTCTGGGTTCTTCAGTGTCTGGTTTGATTTTTGGTAACCAAGTCCAATGATTTGTCAGTAAAGGAAAGGAAGGGAGAGGGTCAAATAAAAAAAAAAAAAAAAGGCAAGATGGGGGCAGAGTAAGAAGACATTAGTATATGCATAAATTGGATGGTGAGGTGATGATGAGGTGGGATGAGATGGCATATTGAGTGTGGTCTTTAACTGTTAAACTTAATTTGAAATAATAGTTAGGATAATATTACTAAGTTTTTAAACTTACAAAAGATATTGCATCATATCACAGAAAAACTTGCAAATACTCACAGTTCCTCGATAAAAACTTTTGGATAAAATTAGAGTTTAACCCAATAAAAATAGAAACCACACAAATATGTGGTTGCTCTGCTTGTAGGTTTATTTCCTCATTATGATCTCTAAATGTTGGCCTCAAAATACCAAAAGAAAAGGAGAAAAACAGAAAGGAAATTGCTGCTTGGCAAGAGAGAAGAGAAATAGCATCATGTGCTTGGTATGTATACATGTCCATGTAACTGTCGGTCATAAATACGATAATTACAACTGCAAACATTTATCACATTTTATTTCTAACACAGTACGGGTCATATAATTAAATTAACGACATTTGATTCCATAATTTCCATTTTTGGCTTCTGGCCTTCCCTTTCAAAACACTTGTTCCCAGAGCGGAATCAATGTCTTGTAGCCTTCATGCCCAGGAGAAGCACGCCCTGACGCCTATTTCCTTCTATGATCTCTCTCTCTCTCTCTTCTCTCTCTCTCTCTCTCTCTCTCTATCTCTCTCTCTCTCTCTCTCTCTCTCTCTCTCTCTCTCTCTCTCTCTCGTTCTTTACTGTAAATCACCAGCAGATGACAGCAAGTTGGGTCAAAGAAACAATACTCTCTTTTTTGTTCCTCAAATTACCACCTGTCAGCTACATCAATGACGACCCCAATTCTTTCAGAAGCAATTTTACACTTAAAGTCATTTCTTTCTGGAGCAATTGTAACTTGCGGTCAACTCCTCAAAAAATCCGCTCGGTAAGGTGCATCTGCCTCCCTAAAATATTTTTTCAGTAGCATTGAGCTTTTTCTTTTTTAGGAGTTAACCGGGGGAAATTGCTCCTGGCAAATACTTTAGGAATAAAATTACTTTTAAAAAAAAATACTTTAGAAGCAAAATTATACTACAAAAGTACAAATTACTTTAGAATAGTGAGTACTCCTAAAAACAAAGTTCCTTCAACCCAGTATTTTGCCGCGAAGAAACTGTGTATTAGAAGAAGAAATTAATTAATAAGGGAGGGAAAAAACAGATTAATCTTGCAAATAGAACTAAAACAGACTCCCCCACCAATCCATTAGAATGGAAGGAAGGAAGTATTTTGTTATTGTCATGGAGGCCGAGCCTCCCATGGGCCCTTCTTTGTCTAACTGTCTATCAACGTATGGGCCTGAGAAATGAACCCAATGTTTTCAAGCCTCTTTTTAAACCCTTCAAGGATTTCTTTTAATTCAGTAATGAGAGAGCTACCCATAAGAGTTTAGTCTAGGTTAAAAGGCTAGTCTTTTATAAAAAGGCAAATCAAAGTTTAAATTTCTGCTCAAAAAATTATCCACATTTAGTGCCTAACAATACCTCAAATAATATTAGCTCCGTTAGGACAACTAGCTGAACTGATTTTGTACATGAATCCCTTCACACAATTATTATTATCCTAGTAATTCCAAACAACTCCACAAGATGCTTGCCCAAATTATATGACCAACACGTAGTACACGTAGACATTAAAAAAAAAAAAAAAAAGAATTTCCCCACTCCTCTTTTCACAAAACATTTACTAAAATTCACCTGGAAACACTCGCATGATTGAGTTTATGTCAAAATATCAAAGAAAATCCAGTCTAACTGATAGTATGCAGTCTGCTCGGCCTCTTCAGCTACAACACATACATGTCATCTTCCCAATGTATTAGCTGCAATTTCCAAAGTTGATGGTTATGCTAAGCTTTTTACAAAATTTAGCCAAACTTGATATCCTCCAATGAACTATTTTGCAATATATTACTTTACTGGCATTAAAAGGTAGAACAGTAAGGAAAACTCTTCTCAACTTGGGAAAGTTATAACAGACATTCAGAAGAACAAGCTGAGAGGCTGACAGGAGATTACTTCATAGTTCAATATCTGGCAATCCCACTAAGAAAGAACTTGGATCATTAGATCCAAGCAGTGGAATATACTCCGATCCCCTCACGTGAACACTAAAGCAAGCTGCAGCAGAAAGAACTCAAAATTAACGCGGCAAAAAGTTAAATACAAATCACCATCACATGTCATGCACTAGGTGATCTAGAAGTCATGCCTCACCTCACTTATATAGTTCTAGGAGTGCCATGAGATTTAGATTTGATGTATAAGATAGGATTGTTACCATACTAATACCAATGGCATTTACACAAGGAAGGTTCTTGAATCAAAATAAAACCAAGTTGTAAAACAAACTCTCCCCCAAAAGGAATCAAGTAATTTAAACCTTGTCATCACTCTCTTCATGGAATAGCGTAGAAGATCTTAGTTAGAGTAGCAAGAGCAATGAGCAATGAACCAGTGTGACAGTTGTGAGTTGTGACAAGAAAAATTCAAAAATCAATGAATGTCAAAGTATGCATGATTCCCAAATTTTTGTTTATCGATTCAGCTAAGTGTAGACCGCACTTGATTACAAATGCAGTCTATTTTATTTTAATATACAATCTAACTCGTGCAGATGGATTCATAATTTCGAACAGACATAAATTGCAATAGAATGCTCCAAAAGGTATCCCATTCACTTGACATTAGCCATATTTTTCATGATGCTATAAACATTCTGGTCGTAAATTTTTTTACAATATAAGTGGACAATGGGATAAGCAATTTCTTTTCCAATTAACTGTTTAGTTTGTTTTATTTGTACCTCCAACTAAGATTCTACGACATCCAACTATGGTATAGATGAACACTAGTCATGGAAACAGATTTCTGGAAATAAACTGCCAGCACCTTACCATTCTCTATTTTCATGACACTTTGGAGCATTGTGTCCATCTTTGTCTTCATATCGTAACTATCATCCATAATTGGTACTACCAAGGTAAGATCCCTGTATATATCACGTACAAATCTGCATATCTTTTCAGCAAATTCAAGCTCGCCATCTGATATTCGACCAATTGCCAAACGCATTAGCTCTCCAGTCAAGTCTGCAAGCTGTAAAATAAGAGTGCATTTTCCATGAGAAGAGAAGGGTGTGAACAAATAGAGTACATGGATTTGTATCTTCATACCATTAATGGATTATTAAAAAAAAACTAATAAAAAGAAAAGAAAAGAAAGGCCAGTAGTTCAAAAACTAAAAAGATTGTGTAGAACTAGATCTTTTTCGTTTATTCTTGAATCTTCCCTTATATGAGTAACCCTAACACGGCTAACACTGCTTCTTGAGTTTTATCTTATTTGCAAATAAATAAAAAAATTAAAAGTTAACAGTATAAAATATTACCCCTAAAAGATAGTCAAGAATATTTATCTGCAGAGGTTCAAGAGATGGATCACTGAGTGGCAATAAAGTAGAATTTATCTCATCAAGCTTCAAAAGACTTCCATTTTTGCAGAAATTGCAGAATGTTGCTGCTTCAACATACTCTTGTATCTGCCAAATCCAAGACAAGTATTAGGAGATACGGAGGAACAGTAAGCCAAGCCTCAACAGGGAAGGTAATTTCAGCATACCCCAGGAGAGTATGCTCTCCTAAGCTTCCAAAAGTCAGTTCCTTGCAATTCTTTGACTAGTCGAGACACATGGTGATCTGTGACAGCTGCTAAGTCCTTTTCTGCTTTCTCAAGAACTTCTTCTTTATTATATTTACTCATACTGATTAATAAATTAAAATATGTCAACATGTGTACGAATAATAATGAGTTCTCTACAGTCTGGCCAAGGGAAAAAAAACGAGTTCTCTAAAGATAAAGTTCTACCGTTTGTTACCCAAAAAAAAAAAACAGAGAGAGAGAGAGAGGGTAGAAAGGGGAGAAAGACAGGTTACCGGTGCACTTGAAATATGACTTTTTTACTATTCATCGTAACATCACGGCTTGCTTTGACTACTCTTTCCCGTTTGTCATTCTACACAAATAAATTTAACAAGCATTAAAATAACAGGAATCAGTGTCTGCGGACTGCCCCTCATCAATGGCTAACTCTACGGAAGATTCAGAGCCATTTATACAACTTGTGACAGACAGGTGAATATTATGGGTGAAGCAAATTTCTCTATAAAGGGGAAGTGTGCTCCAAAGCATCACAAAAATCCACACTTCCAACATAAAAATCTCCACTACATACATGTGCTTCTCCAACAGTAAGCTGAGAGCAGAGGAATTAATTGATTAAAAGTTCCAATGTCCTAACACTCTTTCACAAATTACAACCACTAACAGGTCACAGACTTCCCCTTTGATGCTATTTCCAACCTCGTCAGTAACCCTAACATGGTGTTTGGTTCAATGGAGGGGAGGGGAGGGATTCTAGTGGCATGAAATATAATGGCTTCAACAATCAATACAACAAATTGAAAGCGGCAGCGATGAAAACAAACAACGGCATCAGAATATCTCCTAGATGCCAGAAGAATTAATTCCTAACCAATCCAACTCTTAGATTGAAAACTATTTACACATCACAGTAGAAAGCATCTAAAGGGGGAAAAAGTACTTCCTAAGTTCTTGTAGCTTGTTCGGCCAACCAAAGATCCCCTAATCTCCAACTAATCGAACAAAAGCCGAATGAGAACAGAACTAATCATTTCATCCAGTCAGAACTATCACAGTCTTCCAACGAAACTCAAAGGGTAATAAATCTTAAACTCTAACACTAGAACATTATCATTGTTTAAAGGGATTGCAAGAGATGGAAAAGAGGCATTACCAGGTCGTTCAGATATTCAGCATATTTGGCAAAAGCATCTTTCATAGAGGAATTAGTGGTCATTGTTCTAGCCCTTTTCGTCGAACCCTGCAAGTTGGACCCAGCAACTACAGACAAAACGAAATTGAAACTGAAATCAGTGTGATGCCCACTTAAGCAGCGACTATTACGGCGTGCGTCAACGAGAACACAAACAAGATACCAAATTACAGGGCACAGGAAGCAGAAAGATAGATACTTTGATGGAGACGCTGAGATTTGGAGGCCATGAGAGAAATTCTGTGAAGTGCCGAAAAGGAATACATTTGTCCGTTGAAGGACACCTGCGCACTTCAGCTCCTTCCCCATTTTTTTTTAATAGCGATTAAAACCATTTATAAAACGAAACAAAATTCTTTCTTACACATTTATCTCATATGATTAAAAACTATTTATAAGCTATTCCTAAATATATCCTATGCTGGTTTTGTAAACAAAAAGATTCAAAATTCTCTATTGGGATTTTATTCTTTAATTAATTTTTTATTGGGCCTTTATAATTTTTTTAAGGAAGAATTATAATGAAATTTTAAAAAAGAAAAATAAATACTAAAAAATTTTACTAAGTAACTTGTAATAACAAATTTCAAATAAAAAATGACAACTTTTGAGATTTTTTTGTAATTATTTTTTCTCCTTTTGGTAGGAAGTACTCCTCCGGTCTTTAATATAAACCTATTATAAACCTTAACAACTGATTTGATTAGATTAAGAAAGTTAGGTAAGTTAGTTAATTATAAAAATGTGATAATTTTTTTCAAAACTAAACTGCAATGGCACATATTGGAGAATTTATTGGGCTTTTGGAGAGCAAAGGGCACAGTCAAGCCTAACTGAACCGGAGGAAAGCTTGGGCCTATCACTGGGACAACTGTTAAGGCATCAGAATATTTTTTGCTTTTTTTTAATGAAAAACTCTGCAAACTAACCAACCAAAGAAACCGAAAGAGGACAAAGCCACGAAACCTATCTCCTGGCGTCAGAATATTTTACCAACAAAGATTGGTCCAATTGATAAGGATTATAAAATTATGAGTTGAAATCTTAAAAACTCTGCAAACTACCCAACCAAAGAAACCGAAAGAGGACGTTGGCAAAAAAAAAAGAAAAAAAAAAAAAGAAACCGAAAGAGGACAAAGCCACGAAACCTATCTCCTGGCGTCAGAATATTTTACCAACAAAGATGGGTCCAATTGATAAGGATTATAAAATTATGAGTTGAAATCTTACTATCAATATAAAAGTCTTATTAGTAACTAATCTGTAAATATTTTATTAGTGTTCTTTGGGTCTGAATATATGCCCTGACCTTAATGAATCCCAAGAATAAATAAAATGGAATATTTTATTTAAAGGATTCCATGTGATTACAAATTTTTAAAAGTTAGATACAAAAAGCCCCCTGGTTTGACTTATATAAAAAATATATGCATTAAAATTATTTTTCCTAACCCAATAATGTTTAAATAATATTTTTTTTAAAACTGAGGTATTTTGGTTCAAAATATATAATTTAGAGATAGACTAAAGATGGGCCTAATTATTGAGTATATTTTTTGATTTTAAAGCTGGTAGGAGATTCTACTGAATGAATTGGTGATTAAATTTTTGTTACAATTGGTGATTAAATTGATTGCACATGCGCAATATTTAAAGGTGAGAAAAGAAGTTGGCAAAAAAAATGAGAAGAGGAAGAATTACAATGAAGTCCCAAAAAGAGAAAATAAATATAAAAAAATTTTAAATTTTTTTTATTTTCTATTCTAAAACTTCTCATTATAGGCGGCTCAGCTTGTTATTGAAATTTTTTTTTTATAATTTTTTTTGACCTCATTATAATTCTCCCCACAAAATAGGCTATGTGAGATTTATTGGGCTTTGAGACAAAGGGCCACTATAAAAATAAAACCAAGGCAGGTTTGGGTCTTCTATTATCAAAGCCCAATTTACTTGAAGTACAAATTACTTTTTTCTTTTTAAGTTTGCATTGACAACTCAAAGTAGTAGTTAACAACTCAAAATGTAAGAATTGACAACTATTATGGCAGGTATTGATAACACATTTTCTCGGCACATCATAAAATGTAATGTATGAATTATTAATACATGCCGCGATAGTTGTCAATTCTTACATCTTGAGTTGTCAAACCTACTCTTTTAGTTGTCAATACAAATCTTAAAAAAAAAAAAGAATAATTTGGTAATTAAACAAATAAAATTTATTGTAAAAAGCTTCCTTGAAACATTAGAATAATTTCATATTTTAAGGGATTTTTTTTATTTAACTCCTTTTGATGGGATTTAATTGCAATTTTTCCTAGTTTATTTCCTAAAGGGTGAATAAAGACCTTTTTTTTAAAATTAAAAGTTTAGATGTCGTATTATAAAAAGGCCAAAAAAAAACATGACGTATTATAAAAAAAATTAAAGAAAGAAAAAAGAAGAAAAAATTCAAAATTTTAAATATTATTGCTTTTTTTCTACTATGTATAATAAGTATTAAATACTCTCTTCTAGTTCTATTTATAAATCATTTTATTAAAATTTTTATGTAAATGTGTTATTTTATTTTTATTTATTATTAAAAAGTGTATATATATTATATATAATGACAAAATAGAAAAATGTTAAATTTTAAGCCAAGGTTAATGAGATTTAAGGTTTTTTTTAATTTCTGGTAAAATATGTTAAAAGTGACATATAAATAGAACCAAATGAGAAACAACTAACCAAATTGTATACATCAAAATATTGGTTAAAATTAATTAAAAGTAATAAATATGTAACAGACTTAATTATTTTTTCAAATATACCGTTACACATAAAGATGATGAGTAAGAAAGAGAATGATGGGAAAAAGAGATGAAAGAGAGTGAGTGAAAAAAGATATATAAGAAAACATATAATTAATTAGGGTAACAATAGAGGAGGTGCATTAACTTACTTCTTTGGGTCTATTTATAAATCAATTTTTTATATTAAAAAAATTTGAAACTTCATTAATTATGTTTTAAAAGTCAATAACTTTTCAATTTTATCCCTATTTAATATATATTATTTTTCATAAAAATAAATTAATAATAAATTAAAATTAAAATTATACATTCACACGAAAAATTATAAAAGCTTTGATTCTCGGTACTTTTTAATGTGCACCATGAGATTGTTGACAAAATAAGTGGTGCTTAAGTACTAATTAAATTTTTTTAATTTAGAAGATTATTAATTTTATGTTTAAAAAATTGGAAGTCAAACCATTATGAGAAGAACGACTTAACGGGGACAGGAAAGCCAACCATCATGCTTCAATTGGCAGCATCATATATTCAGCAATCCAGCCACACTGCCACAGTTCATTGCTTGTATGACTTTACAACATTGTTTTTTTAATTAAATTTTATTAAATTATCATTTGTTTGACAGTTAAGCTTTTTGAAGTCAAATTACACTTCTTTATAGTTATATTAATATTATAATTATATTTAACAACATTTCTTCAATAACCAAATGATTTGCTAATAACAACACATGTATCAAATCAGAGCTTAGTGCTATAACGTTTTCCTAAAGAACTAATTATGTAATTTATTATATTATTAGTGCATTATTATGTGAAAATGCTGGACTTGTTATAAATTAATTTAGAGAGAATTACCACGCAGTCCCAAGAAAGAAATTTAATTATCAAGAAATTCCAATGACAAGTGACCAATATGAATTTGTCGTCATTTTTTACTCTAGAATTTGTCATTGCATGCTCTTCAAGTTGTCAATAGACTTTAGGGTAATACAATTTTTTCTTCAAGACTCAATGGTAATTCTTCCTTTAATTTATACACTGACATTGTAATAATTACTATATTTAGGGAAAGAGAGAGTTATATATGAACTTTTTCTTTTTGAATGCGAACTAAATATACTTCACAAGTAATTACAACCGATGAAGGAGACAAACATTAGCCCAGAAAAAATTAAAAGAAAATAAAGAAAAAGCAACCTAATCTCTTTAAACAACAGCCTTTTCTTCAATAATGGGAGGAGGTGGTTGTTCAAAGATATAAAAATTCCTTACAAGATTATGAGCAAGTTGATCTGCCCTGGTGTTACTGTCCCTAGGAACATGTTTGATAAATATTTGCCAGTTTTTATGAAATAAGAGTTTGCCTTCATCTACAATAAATGTCCTTTAAGAGTAATTTATGTCACATCCTCGCAACATCATATTAACTACCTCAATGCAATCAGAACAATCTTTTGAGTTTGTTGATTCCCTTGTTCTAGCTTAGATGCAAACCATGGATAATTTCTATTATTTTGGATATAGCTAGTGGGACTGCCATAAGTTTGTAGCTATATCCCGAAATCCAACTTCCATCCTCCCCCAAAATAGCACTCCACACCCCCTTGGATCAGAGGAAAGAACCGAAGCATCAGTTTGTAGTTTGACAAAACTCTTTCGTATTGGGAAAGTTGTTCGGTTCCTGCCTGGAGATCCGCTTATAGGACTTACAATTGGCTACATCTTGGTCCTAGAAAGCGCGAAATAGGCTGGCATGCCCATTCTCATGCCCAAAAGGATCCTCTTCCTGAAAAAGCTTTTTGTATCTACATAACCACATGTCCCCAACTATATCCAAAGAGAACAGGCCAAGAAACTTTTTTTTGTAAATTCTTTACCCATTTCGTGTTTAAGATTCCTCTTAATCCAATCTGCACCTTGTAGCGAGGAGAAGATTTCCCACAATGTGTCATTGATTACCAACAGACATTGTTGTCTAGCACTGAAGCAAGCTCTCAATAAGTGCATTGGATCTTCTTCCTGCTCACAGCCAATTGGGCATCTCCCTAACTCTGTAATACCTTCCTTAGCCCATAGTTGAGTTGTATGCACCCTATTGTGTGTAAAAAGCCACATAAAAACTTTCATTTTCCCCTGCACCTTTCATCTCCGAAGAAGTCTCCAAATACTATCGGCTTCCTAATGGAGACTGCAAAATGGAAATGATAGGCAGAATTAACTGTAAATTCCATCAGTGGACAGCTTCTATATAAATTTGTCATCTCCTCTTTCCTCACAATGTGGATGTGCACTCATGATGCAATCAATGATGTGGAACCAAGCATTCAACTTATTTTGGTCCGATTATCCCCAAGGAGTCACAAAATGAACAACCCTCTCTTTCTCATTAATCATATCCTCATAATCGGGAATAAGTTCAACATGAGGAACATTTATCTCAGACCAGTTATCAAGCCAAAAGACAGTAGAATTACCATCACCGATT